ACACACACACACACACACACACACACACACACACACACACACACACACACACACACACACACACACACATTCATTCATTCACATTCACACAGATCTTCACATGCACAGTATAAAGCAGTGGCATTTTTTTTTTCTTTTGGTACAAGTGAGAAGCTTGATAAAGTATGGCCTGTGGTGTGAACAATCAGCCCCAGCAACAACAGTTAATGTCAACTCCACACTGAAAAATGCCTCTTCAGGCTGCGGGAAAGTTATTATGTCCCAAGAGAAATGGTTCCCTCTGTACATAAGACAAGAGTGAGGTTAAGATTCATTGCAAGACTGAGAAATTGTTTCTGGGAGGTGTCCGGCTTTGATGCCCCATAAAGTAATCTCTTTTTCTGACACTGTGCCAGGAGAGCAGTGAACAGAGACTCTGTGAGAAATATACACACGTTTGGTGTAGAGATGTTGCCTCAAAATACACTTTAAAGCTGCTTTTTTTGTTAAATACAAATTTTCGGTGAAAAAGCCCAAAATATTATTTAGAAATTTGTCAGACAAAAATATTTAAATGGTTTCTCCTCTTTTGGTGCAACTGGTACTTTAGAACAAAAGTCATTAATCTTAGCCCTATCGGATCAAACTTTAGGCCTGTGTGATGGTTAGTTTGGCGTTTGAACCAAACTGTGAGGTCCTATTAGTAGTCCTATCCTTCTGCAGATGACAACATACAGATAGGTGGAACACCTTTTTTGACCTATGACTCAAGTATTAAGAAAATAAAAATAAAATACAGCATCCTAGAAATTTCTGCAAAAGTCCAAGTTGAGTGTATGCTCCAAATGTTTGAAGCAAAGTTGACAAAAATGCTAACAGCAATTTGTGATTACATGTGTTAAAATAAGAGCATGGAGAAGTCAGTTTGTGAGGAAGTATTGGAAAAGTAAAGCCAACTATTGAGTGCTGCATGGCAAAAGTGAGACAGAAAAGTATATCTTAGCCAAAACTTGCAGTCTCTCTTTCCAGTGAAGCATCTATTTCTCCCTTGTTTTGCTCCAGGCTTTGCCAGTTAGTTTGTCCTGAACGGTTTCTGGACTGCTTTATTCCCTCAGGGAAAGGGAATAGAGGAAGTAGGCCACGAGCCACATAGCTCATTCTAAAGGCAAGAAGCCTAGATCGTCTCGCTCTGTAACACAACAGGGAGAGGTAGCTTATTCATTCTTACTAATTACAGAAGAATAACACGCAGAAAGTCAGAGAGAGAGATGGATATAGCTGTGGGTTGTACAGGAAGTACAGACGGGTGTGAAGGTGAAAAAAAACAAGGTATTAAAGATTTATTTTCAAAAACAGCATGAGATGACTTCAAACCTAAAAGCTTATTTCAGTATCTATCTGTAGAAAATCATGAGACATTTACAATAAGGTCAAGTATTTGTGCATTTATACTGTGTATGAAAAGGAGTTTGCCTTAGTGAATATTTGAAACTCTCAAAGCCGTGGGCTGTTTAATGAAATTTTTAATATAAATAYAGTCTGTGATGACTCAAAAACCGAGACTAAAATGTTAAATCTTCAAGACTATCAGAAAGAAACATTTAAACTTTAGCTTTTCCATTTGGCTAAAGTGGGATTAAAAGAACTGCAACTATATAAACATATATTTCCTACTAGCTTAAAAAAGTTATTTACATACTTATAGTGGATACAGTATTCTCAGTGTAAGTAACAGGGTTGTGTTGTCAGTTTCAGGTGGACGGAAGTATAAATAAAGTTTTATTTAAGGTGTTTATGTCTGTTTATAGTATCTAGTGCACATGAGAATAATGTAAAGATTGTTCAGTCAATAATGATATCATCACCAGCTAAGCTAAAATAAGATGGCATATTTTAGATGTGGTCTAATATCCCAGATAACAGCAGATACAAAATTTATATAAAAAAAAAAACATATTTTCTTTTTTATTGGAATAAAAAAAATCATAAAGTTTGTATTTTTCTAGGACAACTATTTACTTTACTTAAGATGAAGTGCAAGTGCAACCAATGTAGACTATACCACCATCATGTGGCAAAACGAAACGTTTTTTATTTTTTTTCGAGTAGTGTGCGTTGTCATTTGTGTGTATTTTGTTACTGGTTTTTCTCCCTCTCTCTCTTATCTTAATGTGTTGCTGCACCAGTTCCATGTCTATGTTTAGTCGTTTTATTGACAGTGATCCCAATTCATAACAAACTTTAATAAGTTCTTCCTTTTCCCACACAGATCATGTAACAGGAAACTGATTACTCTGTTTTTAATAGGAATTTTTTAGGGTTTCCAAGGCTTTATCAGATCATCATCTTTTTTTCATTTTAAGTCAGCCTCTCAACTGCACGCACCCTTTTTTTATTCTTTCCCTCAACAAAAAAGCAATCATCTGACTCATCTCTAGCTAATGAGTGGGGGAAAGAAGTGGAGCCATGAGCATCTGACTCATGGGTCATGATTTGAAATTAAACTTGTGAATGCAATCTTTCCTTTTCTATCATTTGTCTCACATCATGCTACCCTTCTTCTTTTGAAACTGACCAAAATTATTTATTTGCTTCTTTTTTGTATGTAGGAATTTACTCATTTGTTTTAATAATTTATTTTAAAAGAAATACACACTAAAATGGCATATTTGTTTAAAACACAAATAGACCAGAATTAGTGAGTTTGAAGTCAACTTATGAAAATAAGCTGATTGTCCACCTATTATGTTTGAATATTGTTGCCCGTTTTTCACTGCATATCAAATCTGGTTTTWACTGCAACTTTGTTGTTTGAGGAGGAGTTTTCAGGAAAAGCTTCAAGCTGGCCCAGATGTCAGCTCAGAAGAGCTTTGTATGCGTAGCTGGGCTTGTTCCATCTCTCTCCCTCTTTCTACAGATACACACCCCATACTTCTTGAGGTTTTGTATGCATAGCTGTACTCTCTTGTGCACACAGCTTACTGGTATTAACCCAGTTTCACTTTTCACGCACATAGGCCTTTTTTTCCCCTTTGGGAATGGCCTGAGTTAGAAATGGAAGAAATGAGAAAAAAAAAAAACTGAGGAAGCAACTTAAAATATTCATATTAGTGTATGGATCTGTTCATGACATGTGAAAGAAAAAAGTAAATTTTCGTTTAGTGGTTTCCAAGGAAACTGTGCTATAAGAAAGTCTGGTGAAAACTAAAAGGTCAGCATGAAAGATGACCTCCCACTGTTCTGTGGGTGTTTTCACCTTAGCTGAGAATATTTTTTAACTGAACACTTTTGTAAAATCTAATGTTTGCCATTCATTATGATTTAAACCTCATAAAGTGATCAAMTGTTTTCAGATTTGTTTGAAACCTGCTTTTTT